AGCATTTTGTGCTGGAAGTGATTTCCCTGCCTCTATACATGGTGCCAGAAGAGCAGAGACAGTCACTGAGAATGTTTCCCCACTGCTGTCGTGGCTGCAGCATCTTGTAAGAGATGTTTTAAAGGCAAAAGGGCAGATGTCAATCTTTGATCTTTCTGTTGAGAAGATGATCTATTAAAGACTTAGCTAGCTGGGTACCTACTCCCTCGACAGGCTGCCAAACTCATTGCTTAAGGTAACAAACTCCTATTTGCCAGATCAATGCTGACCCTACGTCAAAAGCTCGGTCTCCTTTTGTCAAATCTGCAAGTCATCCAAAAATACTTTATTAACAGGGAAAGGTAACAGTGGGAGGTAAGCACTGGAATCACAGTGGTGGCTATGTGAAGAAACTGAAAGAAAGAAGTCTGAGATTTTGGTCTGAAAAGAAGTGCATATTTTTCCATTTCAGTGCAGTTTGATAAACCCTCTTAATCAGACAAAAATCTTATTTTGAGACAGATCCTAACTTTATCATTTTTGCTGATTTGTGAGGAAGGCAGAGAGTTGAAGGGGCAGCTGAAGGGAAAGTCCTTGGAGCAACGTATGCTCCTTGCTGAAGGCTGTATGGCACCAGGGATGCTCCTGGAGGAAATTAGGTCTTTAAGTATGGGAAAAAGAACTTGACTTCGCCTTTTCCTTTTGAGAGCCTGCCTCAGCATACTTTTTCTCTGAGATTGGACAGATGAGCCCATTTCTTTTGCATTAGCTGCAGCTTCAGGCTAGCCTTGAGTCCTTATTCACCCTTGCTGCTATTTGTGACCATGAAGGAGGTCGTCAGCGAACTACCCAAGCCCTCCTCTCCCTATGCATCCCAGCAAAAGAAGACAGACAGTACAGGCAAACAATAATACCAGCTGAATTGCCCAATATGTCTATTTAATTAGCACTTAGAAGAGTCACAAATGTTTTCTCCTTGTTTGAAGGAGAGAGAAGAAGAACATGTCCCTGGCCTTGCAGAGGGCAAGAGGGGGTTAATAGATTGTTCCACCTTAACAGTCATGGAGAAAATAATACAATGCATATCCAAATTTAAAAGAGAAAAAAAAGCTCCAGATTTTTTTCTGTTTTTCTTTGGTACTTCACTGGGATGTAGGGTTTGATTTAGCAGCATTTAATCCCTCTGGACAAATGAAAGGGGTGTAAGACACTGATTTTCTATATACTCCCAATTCTCCTACAACTGCAGAATTGGTGTGTGTGTGTGTCTCGGAAAATATTTCTCTATAAAAAGCACATATGTAAAATAAAATCACAGAATCATAGAACAGTTTTGGTTGGAAGGGATCTCTAAAGTCATCTAGTCCAAACTCCCTTCAGTGAGCAAGGACACCTTCAGCTAGATCAGGTTTCTCAGAGCCCCATTTAGCCCTTCCATGAATGTTTCTAGGGATGGGGCATTTACCACATCTCTGGGCAACTCATTTCAGTGTTTTGCCATCCTCATTATAAAAAAACCTTTTGCCACAGTAATTTTCAGCAGTACGATAATTTGGAAAATGTGCACAAATTGCTCTAACAATTATTGATGCTATTGAACTTCCTGCCCTGTGAAAACAGAATTTTCTTGCCCCCTCCCTCCCCAAAGCATCAGTTCTGCAGTGTTCCTTTTATTTTTGTTGCTGTTATCTTTTATGACAGTCAGTCATAAAATCAAATGTGTTCCCTCAAAACAACTCTCATCTTTGTTTTTTAAAACCAGTGTTCTTATTCTTTTCCAAATTAATGGGAAAATATTCCAGTAAAGACATAAGAAAGACCATGCCCTGCCTTGTATTTCACGTACATAGGAAACAAAAGAGTCAAAGATGTTCACTAGGCATTTCTAATGCAAACATCTGACTTCTTTATGAAAATGCTTAGCCTTTTCCATAAAGCAGAAAAGTTCCAGTGAGTCTGAGGATTAAAAAACAGAATGTAATGATCTTCTGTGTGAAGTAAAGCCTCTAGTTTCTCAGACTCCATCAGGATAAAATATTTTGCAAGGCTCTCTTTTCAGGCCAATTTAATTAAATGAAGTGGTACTAGAACACCCTGTCACTATTACAGTTCCCATCCTTTCCAACCAGAAGGCAACTCCCACAGAGTCCCTGTGTATGTTCTTTACAGCAATGGTCTAACTACTGATTAAAAATATCCCACAGTGCAAAGTGCATACAGCTATTACTCTTATTTTATACCTTCTCCTTGTTACAAAGAAAAAAATACATAGGCAAATTATATAAATATTTATTTTCCCCTCTTAAAAGCTAACCTTCTTAATATATTCAACATTTCTATACAGCAACTCTCTTCAATGAGAACTTGACTGTGCTCTGATTCTATCTCTTGTGCCATTGCTATGCTGTTTTGTCTGGCCTTATCAATGACAGAAACAAATTTGCCTTGTAAGAAGAGTTAATCATCTCTACATAGATTTCATTCCTGGGCACAGGCTCAAAGTCCATGAACACATAATCTTTTGCAAATCAAAACCTATTTCTCTCTTTCATGCATCATTTGCAATCCCAAGATGATGTACTGCTAGCATCACACCTGTATTTTAGTTCACTTTCTTCCCGATTACCCGTCCTTTAGAAAAGAAAGCACAAGTGACCTTTACTTTTTTCCTCTCATATTTTATTGTCTGTTTGCCTTGTTTTCCTTTGCTTTGCTTGTCTACATAAAGAACTGAAAGAGAAAGCCTGGTTCAAAAAAAGCAGTAGAATATCTCCTCAGCATGTTCCTCGTCTTCATAAGGAGGCAGAACAGACCTTGGGAACAGTGGAATACCAGAAAAAAACAAAGCACCTAGTTTTCAGTTGCTGGGATCACACAGCAGACCCAGCAGAAATACTGTGCAACTGAGATCCCTTTGAGCCCCAAGTTATCCTTGTAAAGGCTAGACCTTATCTGGTTTGTGAGCAATATCGCCTGCCTCTCACAAGCCTGAAGGCAGCAGCAGCAGCAGCAGCAGCAGCAGCAGCAGCAGCAGCAGAGGCTTTGACTGCCATCCTTACGTCACCCTTTGAGCAGCTCAGTCATTACTGCTGTGCCCTAAGTTACAACTGCACTAGCTAGTCAAAAATAGCAAAAGAAACCAAAATAGTCTCAAAAGTGATAGAGTCAAAGAGCTTTTGAGTGCAAGCTGCCAAGCCAATACCTCCTTCTTTGGGCACCAGAATGAATTCTCACAGTCACTGTCTCCTGCAATTTTTTTTCTCCAGCTTCATCTGCAGTGAATATATTTTCCTGAGCTTCCATTGCTTTGAAGAAGATAGTATTTTACAGCTACTTTAAATAAATTGTTTACCCATTTCTATAACAATTATGTGCCATGAGCCCCAGATTCTGAGTCTGATTACAGGAAGGTGCACAAACACTGCAGCTGTGACACGCATTAACCAATATTCTGGTAACAACCAGGCTGACTGACAAATTTGGGTTTTGATGACAGCTTCATTTTAACAAGCTATTAGTGTGACTAGGTTTGTGGCTCTTGTGCTAACAATCTGATGTGCACAGCTTTGACATCCTCTTCCCCTCACCCAACTCCAGTAGATTATCTTAATATTTAATTGGATATGGTTTTCATTTGCATATAATTGCTGCTCTTTGTTATGAAAAACATTTGTTCTCTAATATATTCTGATGCATCTGGAATTTTCAAGACTTGTACAATGCAATTTATGGGACCACAAAGTTGTCCCACAATGAGATATGTGAGAAAAAATAATGAGTTTTTCATCTCTAGTGGAACATTTTCATGTTTCTAATGTTAATAAAAGCTTAAAAAATTAACCCTTTCAAACGTGTCCTCCTGTTTGCCCTTTTTCATTGCCTTGGCCTCCCCTTAAGATGTATTAAGTAACACATTTTTTCTGTTTTCCTTGTTTTAGTTTTTCTGCTACAGTCAACTTGTGGAAAAGCCAATTCTTACAAACAAATAAACAGGCCCAAAGTTTAATACAGATTTTTTCTACAGCCTTTCTTCCTACACCCACCTTCTCTTTTTCAAGTGGGAGCATCAAGAAAAGCTTATGCTTTTGATCTCTGTGCAAATAAATGAGCTAAAACAAATAAAACCTGGTTCACAAGAGACTTCCAAAACATCTGGTGGAGTTATTTTTCAAAGTAATTAGACCAAGTGGTGGTGTAATTCCCAAATGAAAGGTATCTTCTTGCTTGGTATCCAGTTATTTCTCAGAGCCATCAAAACAGCAGTAAGTCCTGCTTCTCTCCTTGCATGTGTCTCAGACTCTATTGATTATCAGTCTTCCCAAACACTGCCTTATTACTCGAGTTTTTAAAACTTTTTTTTTTTTTTCCTGATACTATGAGGATCCTGTTTTACTTCCATGAATGTCAGTGGGATTTCCGGTATTAAGTGAGGAATGATGGCAACCTACTGTAGTTCTCCTTCACACAGGCTCTAAGGAGCAGGCAGGAAAGTGTAATGAATAACGGCCAGGTGCTTGCTCTGGATCAATACACTGCTCTAAAGTGTGCCCAGGTGTGCTTTTTCCTTCTTTCTTGCTGAAAGCTGATTAAATTTCTCCTTTTTTTTGTCATATCTCCCCAGGAAAATACCATTCTAGCAACAACCCAGTTGCTCTTTGACACTTTGGGAAGAACGTGGTCTGTGACAACAACACAGTGCAACCACTGTGAATTTGTGACGCTGGGGAAGTGACTAGGGAGTAGAGCTGTCTAAGAAAGCAATTCCATTTTTTCTGTGCATGGTTCTCCTGGTTTTTTTGTTTCAAACTTGGTCAGGGTGCTCTACAATCCTGTTTCACTAACCGACCTAGATGCAGAGACCACCTCTGTGCTATGACAGTCATGTTCTGTAATGCCAGACACAGAATTCACAGCTGTATCAGAAGTAAAGAAAAGTAGCTCCCATATGAAACAGATTACAAAGTGGGCTTGATATTAATGCTTTTTAATTCTCATCCCTTTGTGACATAACACAAACTCACCGGAGGTTTCATCTACTCTCTCGTCCACCACATGGTCCTTCTGATGAACCCACTCGCTGTTGCACTTAAAATAGATCTGTGTGGCTGGACTCGCTTTGCAGTACAGATTCACGGGCTTGTTCTTCACAATGTAAGCCTCCTCGGGTTCGATGAGGAAGTGAGGCAATGGCTCTGGAGGGTCAGATGGAAAAGTTTCCGGAAGTTCATGAAAAAAATCATCATCTGTAAAGAAGGAACAAATAGGACAAATTAAACAACCCAAAATTCAGATGCCAAACACTTGCAAACCCTTCCTGAAAATTTCAAAAGGCGCATAGTTTTTGAATAAAATGTTGTCTTAGGAGCACTTCTAGACTGAGGCTTAAAATGCACTGCTGCTTTTAGACTAGAAGAAATTGTTCTTTACATCCTGAGCTTTCTTTCCTCTACATGATGTGACAGGGATGTGCACATTCACACATCTGGGATTGGTCCTTTGTTATCAGCAGCAGCAATACTAGCAATAAAGCATTATGTTAGCACTTGGGAGAGTTGCCTGCAAAACCGTAAAAAGAAATAATAGAAACTTTTGGAGGCTTCAAGGTCAGACTTTTCAATAGTGACTTATCGCAATGCTTAATCAGGTGCGTGCAATAGCCAGTGCCAGCTGAGGCTGGTACAAATAGGAAATAGCACCTTTAGTTTCAGATGAGCAATCTGAAATCTAAGGGCATAGACTAAGTGCAAGTTCAGTCTGCACCTCTTTGTTCATACTCTGACTCTCATGCTAAGACTGCTGATGAAGGTGCCAAGCTATGCTTTATTTACTTTGTCTGTAGTACATTTGTCTGTACAGTCCTTGCTACAGAGAGGACTTGTGAGCTGGGACATGAGGCAGGGCAGCTTCAAAATGGTGACATTTGGGCCATCATGGACAATTGCTATTGGTACAAAGAACATCTGCACTTCCCTGCTGCTGCTGGTAAGGAACAAAGTCAATGTAAGTAGTCTGGAGAAGGAGGAAAAGAATCTATCACATAGGAGGCAACACTGAAAGTACCTAACATGCATACTTTCCTTTCTCTCTCCCTACCTCTTCACAAACCTTCCTTTACAACCCCTCTGCCCCTTCCTGCAGAAAAAGTCTTCCACATCAGAAAGCACCAAATTCAATGGAGAATAACTCTCTTCCCATCCACCTCCCTACCTGCTGTCAGAGCACAAGAATATGTGAGAGGCTTGCAGAAGCAAAGCGGTGGGGGAGCACCAACTACTGACAGATCCACCACCAGCAAGCTGACAGTCCTGAAAGCCTTATTCAATCTCCCCTTTCTGCCTCCGAAGCAGTTATCATTATACACAGTGACAGACGCTGATCCTGATCAATAAAACACCACAGAACATCAAACTAAAAATACTGCGGAAGGCTGGCTATCTTCTCCCTGCCAGTCTCCAGGAAGACGAAATGTCAGACGGCTACCCCCCACCACCCCGAACCTGAGACATGGCTGCGCAGGCCGTGTCCAGAATTACAAGGGGCATGACTCTCCTTCCCAACAGTGCTTTTCAGAAAGACAAAAAAGGAACAGATGAAGGAGAGAGGGGAAGAAGGTAATACGGTACGCATCCAAGCAGTTATATGACGGTGGACTGTATGTCTTTATCAGTGAGGGGAATGCCCTACACAGCAAGCGATTTTGTGAACCTCCTGAACTATTTACGAACAGAACATATGTTGTTGAACTTTTTTTTTTCTTTTCATTTTTTCCCCCTTCATATTCATTTAAAAATACTCCTGTCCTTCTGAGTGTCTCATTTTACAAGGAATTTCAGGCCTGAATCACTACTGCATCACTCCCTGAGAGTTAATAGAAGTGAACAGGTTCAAAGATGGAAGAAAGGGTCAATAAATAAAATCTGACAATTTTCTAGCAAAGGGAAAATATGTGATACACTATAACAATTCCATTTCCACTTCCAATTAATCATTTACAGATCCTCAAATTAAATTGAATTTTTTATCACTTTCCCATCCTTCCTTCTCTTCCTGTAGTTTCTTTTTCATTGTGACCACACCAGCCTCCTTCTTCTGCAATCACATTTCCTCTCCTCATAAGTTATTTCTTTCTTGCTCCATTTTGCTCCCCATCTTTTTCCAAAGAGAAAGATGAGTTACAGTAAGTTAATGGGAGTCCTCATTTGATTACATGACAATGAAACATGTCTGAACTGAATCAAGAGGCTTTTTGGCACTCCTCATCCCCTTCTATGCATATCTCCCCCTCTTCCCCTCTTCCTCTGCCTCCCTCTCATGCTGCTCCATAGACAGCCACAACATAGAAACATTAGAGATGAATCATTTCCCCTGAATTGCCACAGGTTGTATCTTTTTCTTCTGGTCATTTAATTGCAAATCAGCGAGCAGACAGATGGAAACTAACAAAGCACACATATGTTTTATAATTAAACAAGTATCGCTTCACTAATTTCTGGTGACTGGAAGAACAAATGTATTTATTTTCACCACTAAATTTCTGCACATTATCAAAGGCAATACTTACACTGCCTGACCAATTAACTGCATCTTATCAAAGATAACTAGAAAGTCTAAAAGGAGTGATCAGCTAGCTGCAAAAAAAAAGAAAAAAGGTGTTTTTAAAACTGATTTTTTTTAATCAGCCTGAAAAATGTGTGTGTGGGCTTTGGCTTTTCCTCCTGAAGGTAAACCCTTCTGAAGTTTAAATATTATTTGTATGTTAAAGTGGATTCACAGTAATGCCCAGTATATGGCAATCTAGGCCTACATTTTGATTGTGGTGATAGCTGCTTCTCTGCACCAGCATGGAATCCTTCAGTCAGGTACAAGCCTGTTTTCTTACTGTCTTTTTGCTCTGATTCCTCTCTACTCTTCTTAAGCAACAATAAAGCTCAGCTTTATTTTTCCACACTCTTATTGCTATCAAGAGGCATCTGAACGGCTCTTAAATGTTAGGGATATAGATAGAAACCATTCATAAACTGTCACACAAATAGTGCGCAGAGGCTGCCACGTCCCTGGGAACAGGAATTTAAAACCATCACTTTCAGAAAAAAATTAAGATAGTAGCTAAGAAAGATAATTTTTTGCTTTTTAAACCAGAGTGTGTTTGTTCAATCCCTGCCCTCTTTCTGTTGCTATTAGGAGTAACAATGGTGTTCTTTTTTTTATAGAGCAGTTTCTTAAGAGGAGTATATAGAATATGGCCATGACTAGGTTTGGCAGAAAAAAATCCCACTCCCACTGCTAAGCTAGTCCTACCTCCATTAGAACCGAGGGACTCCAGCTTCCTGTTTTTCACTGTGGAAAGGTAACTGGTGGCTTAATCAGCCTGTGAATCACAGGGGGAAGTCACTCGGTGTTCTCTGCCTGCCCCAAAGAGATGGGGTCAGCTGCTGTGGGGCAGCAAAGCACCCCTCTCCTCCCACCCAGCCATACCAGTTGCCACCAGATGAAGTGGCAGGATGGTGGTTTACAGCAGAGAGGGCGTTCAGCCCCACTTTCCCTGCACCAGGCTCTGGTACTTGCCTCTCAGGATAAGGATCTTATGAGGAGGAAGAACCTTAAGTCCCCTCATGATGGCTTGCACATCACACCAGGCACAGCTTAGGACAGTCAGCCAACTCAGCTGCTGATTTGGGACAGGGTTTTGAACTATCAACCTTAACGCATGTCTTGTATCCAAGTCTTGCATTTCATTTTTTGAATTACAGTAATATGTTGTTGTGCTTTCACTGTAATGCTCACAGCAACATGCAATAATTATAATGTCAGTGTAACTATATGCCAAAATATTCCTAAAAACCCAATACAGAAAATGCCAACACAGGATATTTGATAATGCTGAGATTTTTTTTGCAGAATGAGCTTCTGGTAACACTGAAGCAATTTAAAAACATGTGCTTTCATGAGGACACAGTTTCTAACAATGTAAAAAATACTTCCATCAAAATTTCTCCTGACCAACTGCCGTTAAACACAGCTCATTCCTCTCTCCATACAAAAACCAAACTCTGACTTAGCTTCTTCAGGGATGATTTTGCTGTAACAGTGTGGCCTGCTGGGCCCGTTTCTATAATTTGGATGGGAGCTACCTCTCACTATGTGCTCCACTGCTATATGAGGTGATAAATCTTGCCTGAGACTTTGATCTGCATCTTTCCGATGGTTATTGCTGGTTATTTAAAATGTTCATCTCCCAATGGTGCAACAAAGCAGCAAACTTTATAACTCTCTTATTTAATTCTCCTAAGTAGTTAGACATTTTCTTTTGTCTGAAGGAAAAAAGCTAATTAAACCATTTGGGAGTGATCTGGGCGTGTAGATACAAACAAACACTAAAAATTCCCATACTTGATTTCCAATCATTATGTCAATGTCATGTGCAGCAAGTTCCCCTTACAACCTTGATCAAACACAAATACAAGGCACACATTGTTCTCCCCTGTTGTAACAAATCCCCTTCTGTACTCAGTAACTTTGAGCTGCAACTTTACTTCTGCAGTATGTCACATTCATCTTTATTTTCACATAATAAAGTGTACAGCCCATCTGTTGTTATTGACTGATTTATATTAGCAAGACAAAAGACCTGATTAATGATACTGCTAAACTGGTTTTGCTCATGCAATTCATTCATATTAAGAAAATAAATTTTTAAAAGCCACCTTAATTTATAAACTTCATTTGGAATTTTTATTTTATTTACTGGACCAAAAAGAGATATGGTTTTTATTTGCCTTCTGTAGTATCTGACAACTATATTTTTTTAAAAAACAAAGTCAAATGCAAAATCTATAGGAACAGGTGGAGTGCTACTGAAATCAGCATTGATATGGTTTGGCATGGACTGTCACATATAGGAATTTTAGCTTAATTTTACTTCAGTTTTCTTTTAAGGTGAAAAAAATTTTGCCTAAGTCGGGAATCTTCTGATGTTAGAAAAGGTCTTTATTGTTTTCATGCATTTGATCACAAAACTATACATATTATAGCTCTCCATGCATAACAAGCGAAAAGGAAATTTAATGGTATATTTCCCTTTTTATGGACTAGTATCCCTGCTCTAATCTGTGGCAGGAAAATATTGTGCTCCATACACCAATCTATTCATCTCTAGATCACTAGTTTTATTACTATATATCAAGCTTTAATTCTCATCAACCCAGTATATAACTCAGTATATATCTGAACTGCAAGACTTGAA